GCGCTGTGATGACGTCACGTACGCGCTTTCGTCGAGCGCGCTTTTGTCTACCGCGGTTTTGTGGTGGAACCAAGATTTTAAATTATTACAGTACAGATAGTTCTTTGAGCCTGCCTATTACAGTCATAATTCTTAACAGTTGTAAAATGTCACACGAGTGATCTGATTTTATGAGCTTTTTTTTTTAACCTGCAGCTCTTGGAGGAAGGATGAAGGGAAGCAAGCCACGGGCCTCATCACTGCCTCCTTCCTCGAGAGCTTCCTCAAGAACTGGGGACGGCCAGCCTCTCCCGTCACTGCACCCTTCACTCGCCTTTCACCCAGAGGATCTGCTAGTGGGGTGCCTGCCATTTCATCTCCTGAGAGAAGCTCGCGAGAGACATGCAAACGGCCGCAACTCGAGGCTCCTGAGAAGGATGCTGGACACCAGGGGTGGCAGTGGCACCCGCTGCTGCTCTTCTGCTGCTCCCAGTAATGCAGGCTTGTTGGAGAGCATTAAGTTGCAGGCGCACCGATTCCAGCAGCTGCGCTTTCCCTTGAAATTTGCTGTCCCAGCAACCCGAAGGGGACAATCTCCCAGCGGCATCTTAGGCACTCCCACCCTTAGCCGCGAGAGAGTGAGGACGGCTGGGTGCAGTTTGGCACCTCCCGGCTCCCCTCAGATCATCGTGGGGCCTCGCGCGCCTGCTCGCTCACATGGCCTGCATGCTTCCAGCAGAAATGGCAAGCGCAGGGATCTTAATGTAGTAGGGGGGTGGGGGAAGCTGGAGCAGGAGGTTAAATAAACAAATTTGGCTTCGCTTCCTTGCGTGGCAAGAGAGAAAGGTGCCTGAGATGCCCCTGGGAGAATGTCCCATTCGGGTTGTCCCCTTACCGTCCCTCTGCCGCCCCCATTGCCTCTTAGTGCCCCCCTAAGTCATCCCACCGCCCACCAGGGGGCGGTACTGCCCACTTTGGGAACCACTGCTGTAGAAGGACATGACTTACTGTTGGGATGGCATGCTTTTTTATGGTATAAGGGAACTAAAACACAGGGTTATTTTAGAAGACAATATGCTACGGGAGGCTTTGTTACTGAATTGGGAGAAGATCAAAAGGCAATATTATCTGAAAATTCCAGTCTGGCTATCAACTATTGAAGCTTTTTCATAGCCAATAATATACAAAAAGGAACAAACAGTTAGATATGGTGAAATATTGAATGCCGAGGGTGAACTTAAATCTATGCAAGAGTTGAAACAGGAAGGAATAGGAATGAATTGGTTTTCATATGTGCAAATGCAATCTAGATATGACATAGACCGTAAAACGGAAGGTTTCTATGATAAAATGACTGAATTAGACAAAATGTTGACAGGTACTGATGAAAAAGTAATTAAAAAATTATATGGACACTTACTAGAGGTTAAGTTAAAGGAAGAACAAGTTAAAGAAACTATGATAGCTTGGGGAGAGGAATTTTGGACTTGGGATTGAACTAGAGG